AAGAAAAGTGGCTTATGATGTCAAGGTATAAGACGCAGTTTTTAAATATCCTGACATTGTGAAGATGTCGCAGCCACGGAACAGATTACAAGTTCACTGGCATGTTTTTCATCTATATTTAACATCAAATCAACTTGAAATCCGAAAATAAATCAAAAATGAGAACCGGAAGTGAGGTATATGTTTTAATTAATTGCATAGCAACCACTGATTGTAGTTGTAAGCGAGTTAAATGTCAGAATTTAATAATATTTTGTTAGAGAATTAGTTTAGATTAGTCTCAATTCAATCGTAGTTATATTCTATATGACTGTATACAGATATCTCTCGGCGTATTGATCTCAGTCAATGGAATAAAGTTGTAGAGTGTTATTGACCACCCGGCTTCTTACACACATCAAAGTCTTAAAATAATAACTCCGCTAAATATATAGTTCCTTTTCTAAATAGTTTCACACGCCATAATATTAGTATTTCAAACTTTGAACAAATATTTTATAAACAACCTCGAGACTAAAATAGTTCTGAATAGATCCGACACTGTAGGTGAACAGTCTGTAGATAGTTTAAATAAAAGAAGATTGTGGAAATGAATGAAAAGAAATATGTTTGTAATTTAATGAGAATACGATGTATTATTTTTAAAACATGTTCAGTTTAAGTGGAATTTCAAAATCCCATATAAAAAACATCCACAGAGTTCGATGAAAAATACACGTTTAACGGTCAGGAATGAGCCACCTTTAGTTTCTATTCGAGTAAAGCTTAATTAGAAATTCATTTTGGAGTTTTTAAGAAAATAGATAATTCTCACCCAAAATTTTAAACTATTGCGAAGAAGTTGGTTGAGGGGAGGGGAATATAGTTAGACATTAAATATCAATTTTTTGAGATTGCTAATCATTGTTTGAGAGGTGGCGGCCGGGAGGGGGGGGGGGGGTTAATTTGATTAATTTGTGAAGATTGTTGGGTTATAATCCATCAACTATCAACACTTCAATTATCAATCTATAAATCTCTTCTAGTACAATACTAATTCTGATAGTTTTTAAAAACACAGGTCTATTCTTAGACAGATCGCGAGTTTAAGATAATATTTATAGAATTATAGCAATATTTGTTAAATCAGAAATGGAAAAAACCAGTAATTATATCCCTGTTATATTAACAGTAGATCTATATTGTTATATTAACAGTAGATCTATATTGTTATATTAACAGTAGATCTATATTGTTATATTAACAGTAGATCTATATTGTTATATCAACAGTAGATCTATATTGTTATATTGACAGTAGATCTATATTGTTATATTGACAGTAGATCTATTGTTATATTAACAGTAGATCTATATTGTTATATTAACAGTAGATCTATATTGTTATATTGACAGTAGATCTATATTGTTATATTGACAGTAGATCTATATTGTTATATTGACAGTAGATCTATTGTTATATTAACAGTAGATCTATATTGTTATATTAACAGTAGATCTATATTGTTATATTGACAGTAGATCTATATTGTTATATTGACAGTAGATCTATATTGTTATATTGACAGTAGATCTATTGTTATATTAACAGTAGATCTATATTGTTATATTAACAGTAGATCTATATTGTTATATTGACAGTAGATCTATTGTTATATTAACAGTAGATCTATATTGTTATATTAACAGTAGATCTATATTGTTATATTGACAGTAGATCTATATTGTTATATTGACAGTAGATCTATATTGTTATATTAACAGTAGATCTATATTGTTATATTAACAGTAGATCTATATTGTTATATTGACAGTAGATCTATATTGTTATATTAACAGTAGATCTATATTGTTATATTGACAGTAGATCTATATTGTTATATCAACAGTAGATCTATATTGTTATATTGACAGTAGATCTATATTGTTATATTGACAGTAGATCTATATTGTTATATTAACAGTAGCTATATCGTTATATTAACAGTAGATCTATATTGTTATATTAACAGTAGATCTATATTGTTATATTAACAGTAGATCTATATTGTTATATCAACAGTAGATCTATATTGTTATATTGACAGTAGATCTATATTGTTATATTAACAGTAGATCTATATTGTTATATTAACAGTAGATCTATATTGTTATATTAACAGTAGATCTATATTGTTATATTAACAGTAGATCTATATTGTTATATTGACAGTAGATCTATATTGTTATATTAACAGTAGATCTATATTGTTATATCAACAGTAGATCTATATTGTTATATTGACAGTAGATCTATATTGTTATATTAACAGTAGATCTATATTGTTATATTGACAGTAGATCTATATTGTTATATTGACAGTAGATCTATATTGTTATATTAACAGTAGATCTATATTGTTATATTAACAGTAGATCTATATTGTTATATTAACAGTAGATCTATATTGTTATATCAACAGTAGATCTATATTGTTATATTGACAGTAGATCTATATTGTTATATTAACAGTAGATCTATATTGTTATATTAACAGTAGATCTATATTGTTATATTGACAGTAGATCTATATTGTTATATTGACAGTAGATCTATATTGTTATATTGACAGTAGATCTATATTGTTATATTGACAGTAGATCTATATTGTTATATTAACAGTAGATCTATATCGTTATAGTAATATTTAGAACCTATTTATCCTGTTAAATATCGATGTAAAATGTTGTCAAGTCATTTGAATATTCTGGACCTGTGTGACTCTGTGAATCTCTAAGCTAGTGACCTGGTTTAATCCTGGTAAAGTTTGCGATGATATTTTATGCTTTTCGACCCGGTGCCCTCTCAGGTTTATAGGTAGGAGGAGATGACCTGTAAAAGTGATTTATTTGGGGAAAAAAGACCGAATCTGTTTGTACTCACTAGACAATCTCCTTTTCTGGAGCCCAAAAGTAGAGTTTAAAATAAATTTATTTTAAATTTCGGTGTTTGCTCAATAACTTTAAGTTGAGTTTTACGTCCATTTTACATCTTCACCTTTCCAATTTTAAAAATGTTTGAAATAACTCAATAACATCCATATTTTAAAACTAGAAACTAACCACTGGCACATTTTCTCCATTTGATATGAATGAGTTTAAAATAATAATGGTATGATGCATGTGTAAACAGAATTTTATTTTAGAAACACAATTCCTAAAATAAAACAAGGTTTCTAAATTCAGGTAAATAAATCGATAGTCATTGATGTTATAAAGGTGAATGGTTTGTATCAATAAAATATATTTTTAATAGTTAGTTTTAATAGTAGGTTCATATAGTAGATAATTATATATATCATGCACTATATCACTCGACCTCGTCTACAGTAGGCTATATATATCAATATAATATACTGACTGGTGTGGTGCTAGGCAGGGTATGCTTACTCTTCTAGACACCTGACACCACTTTTTATTACTCTTCTAGACACCTGACACCACTTTTTATGATGAAGTATTTACTCACTAATGATTGATATACTTCCTCATATGAAAAGGTCATAGCTGCTACCAATGTTTCACCAATATGTAGTTTTGATTTCGGGTTTCGTTTTGAGGTTCTGATCGTTAGTATAGGTTTTTGTATCCCCGTTATTTATAATGAATAGCTAGTAATTGTAATATAAATACAGTTTGAAATACTCCATATCATTGTTACATGTTAAGGTAGCTTTCAAGTTATATTCAAGACGTACCATACGAAGGTTTGACAGTCTCAAGTCTCAAGCCTCCTTGCGTAGACTCAATCAGCCAGCCTGTTGTAAATAATTCATGATCGATTTGTTGCACTATTTAACATGCCCCACCCTCCCCCTCCGAAAATTACACCTTTTGCATAATCCAGTAATTGCAAAAATCTATAAAATGCCATGCACTGTTTGCTATGACCTCACCCCCCCCCAAAAAAAAATTACATAAAATACCAGCTAGTCATTTGAAACAAACCAATATCTATTCATGGTGACATTCTATAAAATATCGTGCACTATTTACCACGACCTCGGTAATAATATATTGTGATTTTTCACGCGTTACTTTTGGAGAAATTTATAATAGTATTTATAATATTTTAATAGTAGTTAAAATAAGAATAAACCTTTACTTCATGCATAATTTACATCCTTTTCATTTATCAGGCGGCAGATTCCCTCATTGTACTGGGGGTGACAAGGACGTAACTTCATCAAGGTAAATGAAGCAAGTGTCTCATGCCGAATTTGACAAGAAGAAATTAAAACTATAATTGTGATATCCTCTAAATATATCGTTTATTTGATGTCTACAGAAATAGTTGTTACCGTTGAAGTCAACTGTAAGCGATGAACCCAGTACTAACGACCCAAACTGCAAAACAAAGCCCGAAATTCAAAACAACATATTGGCGAAACATTGGTAGCAGCTCATGAACTTTTCAAAATAGTTACGACCCTGACTGGACATATAGTCGTCTTCTTTGACTTGTATAGTTAACAATTTAATAAGGTATAGAATTGTAAGGTATGAAATTCCGTTTTAGTATCAACATTAATCGAGGTCAAGTGAAGCAAATCTGCATTGAATTGTTTACATGCTCTCTGTTAAACGGACATGGGAAATATTTTATCTTGAAGAAAACAATATGAGAAATGAAGTTTTTAATATAACTTCAATATTAATGTCTATAATTATAATGTAGTGCAGTCTGCTCATTATTATCTTTTTCTGTAATAGGTTTATTTAAGTTCAGTCTGATATTTTTACAAGGAAATGAATTCTAAAAGGAAATCCCATTTACTGCTTGGTTTGTTAAAACATATATTACACAATGAGTACTTGGTAACAGTAGTTTGTCTCTGATGTTTTCAGTATATTGAAAGTAACTCATACGTGATGCGATATACAGAAGTTCACTTTGATCCCACTCAAACCTCGACAACCCCTTATCAATGACTAGATGGGAATGTGGTTCACTTTATCTAAATGGCTTTGTATGAGATGGTGAGTTTGAACCAATCGCAATGATATTTTTTTATACCAGAAGGGTTGCGAGATATATTATTCACGAGGTTCGTACGTGTGTCATATTTACAAAACAAAATTGAAAATTTGGATCCCCCTGATAGCTATGATCTGGGATGAGGTGATATTTTTATTGTGGTATTTTGTGCTACCATGCTTGCTTCACGTGATTAAGATTGTTGGTTTTTTATTAATATCATCTTTATCAATGTTTTATAAGCTATTAGCTTTGTACTACAGTAGTGGTTACGTACAAAGCTAAAAGCTAATAGCTAATGAAACATTCGAAACGAAACTAATAAATTATGAAGAAGTTAGGTCTAATTTTAATAAGACTGGATACAGATTAAGATTCCCTTCGGACATCATTTTCTATTTCTCCAAGTTATTTATCCCTGAGATTTTATTGTTAAATTTTAATAAGAACTAGACTGGGATTATAGTAAAAATTCATTGATAATCCAATTGGATTAGAGCTATATATACTTCGATTGGTTTACCAGGAGTACATTGGTGGCGTATTATTCTTCTAAAATAGAACATTTCTTTTAAAACAATACTATAATTTGACTGTATTTGGAAACAAACAGCTTGATTTTAATTCTTTACCAAAATATAATATTTGTCAAATTGTAAACCAAGATGATTTAATCTTCTAAAATAGAAAATTTCATTTAAAACATGACTGTATTTGTTGATAAATTGAAATGGAAACAAGAAATGCTTCCGAACATCACAACATTATATAGATAGTCATAAAATATCAAAATAAAGTGATTTGATTTTGGCGAAATGCAGGGTATGTTTACTCTTCTAGACACCTGATAACACTTTTCACTAACAAATACTCACTCACTTATTATTGATATACTTCCTCATATGAAAAGCTCATTAGCTGCTACCAATGTTTCGCCAATATGTTGTTTTGGATTCGGGTTTCCTTTTTGCGGTTAAAAAAGGATTTTATTGTCGACATCATGAAATTTAAATAATGATTATCTAAATACCTTGGTAAAACGTAAAACCTTCTGAAATTTACTTGTAATCTATTGAATATACAATATGTATACCATTTTCTTTGACAGGCAGACAAATTGTAATAGGGATTTGTCTGTGGACCTTTGAACCTTGTAGAACGAGTTAATTTTGATGTCTCTTAAGGTTTAGATTGTCTACAAGATAGTACAAATAAACTTTGATCTCTTCTCCTGAAGTCGCCACTCTTTAATAATTGGTGAATAGAAGTTTAAACAGTTGAAAGAATATTTAATATTATATAATAACAGTGTAACAGTAGTAGTGATATATCAAGACTTCTATAACCTGATTAAAATATATACCAACCACATCTTTAGAAAATGTCGTATGCCTTACTTTGTGGTACTTTATCGGGCTAGACAACTGACGGGTTCGAATTCTTGAAACTGTAACTATACGGGAAACAGAGACGGACACCTTGCAGAGATAAGAGGGATGGACATTTGAAAATGTCTCAAAGAAATCCACTCGACCCGGTCTTCGTTCCTGAATTCGAACCTTGTTCAATCACGGCTCAACCAAACTGTTTTGTAGTTTCTGACTAACTATGTTATTCTATCTTGAATCACTTGGCTAATTGTTAATGTAAGATTTAATGGTGATTATAAAGAGGTTTTCTAACCTTTTTATGTTTATCGGGGACATCTTTGACTTTTTTTAGGACATTCCAATTCTTCGTTCGATGTTTATAGTTCCTGCAATTCCAGAAAGAGTTAAACGGAAATGACGCAGCTCCAGCAAGAGAATTCGTAACCAACCTACAACCAGACCACAATAACGTTATAATATATGTTATCTCCCCTTTCAAGATGGCGGCATTTCTATTTAAAAATTTAACAGAATGGGAAAGTTGTATGAAATTTCAATCCCTTTGTAGATTTTCAGTTTGTAGTTAATACTGATTTGGGGATGATGGGGGTGGGGGAGGTCGCTATGATAGTTGAACTATTGATTACTATTATTATCTTGAATCAATCAGCTAATTGTCTTCTACCTGAGTTAGATCAGATTACAAACTATGATAGATCTAAATTGTGATTTCCGTTCCTGATTTCTACTTCCGGTTTAAATCCTGGCTCTTGTGTTCTTCATGATCGTTCTGATAATAATCAGATTAAAATATAGAAATCTAGATGTTTTGTTTCGTTACAAATATTATCTATCATCAGACTTAATTACTACACAATATCACCCAGACTTGGAGTAAAACTTCATTAAAGGAATAACGAAAGATACAAAGCTCTCCGTCGTTTTTTTGAATAATATTTGAACGAAAGATTTTCAGTAATATAAGCTCCATAATCATGAGATGTACAGATTCAACACTAATATTTCTTCATTTTATGACTCCGTGGACTCCCTGAAAGTATTGCTGTGTTGAGAAACCTAAATATCAAATAAACAATATCAGCTATGTAGACTCTCTGTAATGGATATCGAGTTGACAAACCTAAATACCTAATAAACATTATTAACTATGTGGACTCTTTGAAAGAGATGTCAAGTTGACAAACCTAAATACCAAAATAAACATTATTAGCTATGTTAACTTTCTGAAAGGAATGCTGATTTGACATCACTAAATACCACTGTAAACATTATTAGCTATGTGAACTCTCTAAAAGGAGTTGAGTTATGGAAGCTAAATATCAAATAAACAATATTAGCTGACTGTACTCTTATTTGAAAGTACATGTAATTTTCTATCAGATACTAATCAGAATAATGTTGTTTGTATATGACTTGATTTGGTCACGATTATCGATACATCATTCCAATAATAACATTACAACCCGGTCGAGTTGATAATCAAACACAACTCCTGTCTCTTACTGCCGGAATCGCGTCAATTGATGTCAAGGTATTAGATTTCACCTACCAGTTAAACATTGTCGCCAGGTAAACTGAATTGGTGTAGAATACCCGGTATCAAACTAGCATATTAGATTTATTGGGATTCAAATCATGCACGCCATTATATCGGTTACGTACAACTACAATAACTCGTGTACATATTACCAACTCTCAGTACTATATATATCAATACATCACGAAACGAAACATTGTTATAAAGTATACTCTATTTGTGGCGTACATTACATTTGGTGAGTTGATTAGGTAGAGTCTTATGCGAAATATCGTGTCCCCCTAGAGCATGCTTTAATTGCAGACGAACATGATATTGGATTTCTGGACAGCAGTAGTAAATAACAGGTCGAATACATTCCTTTCATTCTTAACATTTACATGTAATCTGCTGACAATATCAGACTGAAAAAGTCACTGATAAAAATTTCTATCAACTCTGAAATATTTCTACGACTGTATACTTTTCTTCTATTAAACACTCGTGTATAATCTGTTCTATAGGAGTTGGCACGTACTTCTCTGATTGCAGAAGAACTGAAAGTCCGATTTTCAATCTAAAAATAGTCTATACTGAGATAAGATTTGAACGACATTTAGAAGTCTATATACTGGTAAATATTTCTACGACCGAATACCTTTAATTCAGTAAACACTCGCCTATAATCTGTTCTGTCAATGAAAGTAATAATACTGAACGAGAGTTGACAGGGAAATGTTTAACAATCAACAAGGAAACACATCCATCATGGTTTAAACGTCGTTTTATATCCCAACACAATCATACATTGTTTATTATAATGATACAATAGATACTAGCCCCATACTGTTGGAAAACTATATAGAAATTCAGTTTCAATTCGAGGTTTGATTTGGGTCATGAAAATATGTAAATAATCTTCAGAAGTACTAGAAATGCAAATCGCATAATTCCTTAAAAAATATCTCACTAGGAATTTAACTGTCTATTTCTATCTGTGTCAGATCTATGTATGTCAGAGTTTCGAAAAGGGACGAGCCGTCTTTTTAACTTTCTAACAAGATCATTCTGGACACACATGGATTTAAAGGCTCAAATTTCAAAGATGAGCCGTGAACACTATTACTGATTAGTTTATTAGTTTAAATTAATGGTGGCTCACTGATATCGTGCCACAATCTGCTAGTAGTAAGTATCGTGGAATACAGACTGATAGTTTGTTTAAATCAATGATAGCTCACTGATATCGTACCACAATCTGCTAGTAGATAGTGTCCGTCCTGTAAAACAGACTGCTGGGTAGTTAATATCAATGATAGCTCACTGATATCGTACCACAATCTGCTAGTAGATAGTGTCCTGTAATACAGATTGCTAGGTAGTTTGAATTAATGATAGCTCACCGATATCGTACCACAATCTGTTAGTAGATAGAATCGTGTAAAACAGACTGCTAGGTAGTTTAAATCAATGGTGGCTCACTGATATCGTGCCACAATCTGCTAGTAGTTAGTATCATGTAAAACAGACTGCTAGGTAGTTTGAATTACAAGTGGCTCAATGATATCGTACCACAATCTGCCAGTAGATAGTATCGTGTAAAACAGACTGCTAGGTAGTTTGAATTAATGGTGGCTCACTGATATCGTATCACAATCTGTTAGTAGATAGTATCGTGTAATACAGACTGCTAGGTAGTTTAAATTAATGGTGGCTCACTGATATCGTACCACAATCTGCTAGTAGTAAGTGTTCTGTAAAACAGACTGTCCCTGGAGAATAGTTGCGTTTTATTCTGAGTATAATTATCACACTCTCATTCTTATCTCGTCTCAATAACTTGACAAATCCCCAAACCAAAACATCCGCCTAATGTGCCTGTGGAATTCAATGAAATATCGTTTTGTAAATAACAGCTGTAGTCAGCGCGTTTCATTGTTTTCAAGGTTTCTCCTTTATCTTACATTCTGAACGGATTACTCTGTTGTTTAATGAAAATAGATTGATTGAGTAATTTCAATGATCACCGTCAGTGACGCAGATTAGAGGGGTTGATGTGGTGAAATCATTTAATCATTCGATATAGACAGACATTAACACAGGTTCAAACAGAAAAAACAGTGTACTTCAGGACATGCTTCTTCACAATGGTCAAGATATTACGTCTTCATTTTATACCTTGACTGGAATGGCCTACTTTCTTGTTTCAGGGACAGCGATTTGATTGGATTGAAAGCCAGCGAATATAGCCAATTAGAGACCTCGATAATTATTTTGTTGTAGGCTTTCAGTCGCGAGCTCAAATTGACTGTATTCGCTGGCGTACGATCCAATCAAATTTCTACATGTACAAAATTCCGTGATACAAGAAGGTTGGCTATTGCAGTCAAGGTATAAGATTAAAATGTGATACCTTGACTATTGGCTTGTGAAGATGAGAATCGGGTTGTAAAATCCAACAATGTTTTGTCTCAACATTGACGGGATCGAAACCATGATCTGACTCGACGCTCTCTAAGAACAGCAGGTAAAGTAAATATCTATATGACTATACATACAGCTGATATTGAGCTCTATCAGCTGGTAAAGTAAATATTTAGATGACTATACATACAGCTGATATTGAGCTCTATCAGCTGGTAAAGTAAATATTGAGATGACTATACATACAGCTGATATTGAGATCTATCAGCTGGTAAAGTAAATATTAAGATGACTATACAGACAGCTGAAATTGAGCTCTATCAGCTGGTAAAGTAAATATAAAGATGACTATACAGACAGCTGAAATTGAGCTCTATCAATTGGTAAAGTAAATATCTATATGACTATACATACAGCTGATATTGAGCTCTATCAGCTGGTAAAGTAAATATAAAGATGACTATACAGATAGCTGAAATTGAGCTCTATCAATTGGTAAAGTAAATATCTATATGACTATACATACAGCTGATATTGAGCTCTATCAGCTGGTAAAGTAAATATAAAGATGACTATACAGACAGCTGAAATTGAGCTCTATCAGCTGGTAAAGTAAATATTGAGATGACTATACATATAGCTGATATTGAGATCTATCAGCTGGTAAAGTAAATATTAAGATGACTATACAGACAGCTGAAATTGAGCTCTATCAGCTGGTAAAGTAAATATTTCGATGACAATATCCCTTTATTTCTATAAAACTAGTTTATCTTATATTTATTTGATATTATTTGATATATTTCAGATTGTGCTTTAAGACAGCTATGAATCAAGATTGTGGTTTCTATATTCTACTTGTGTCGGTGTTTGTCTTATTCTCTTTACAAATTGTTCTGGCTGACGATACAGAATTATACAAGGTTTGTTTTTGTTTTCTTTGGTTATTAATATCACTTGAAATGACAAAAGCTCAAAGGGATACCCGAAATATCTCGTACCTTAACAGGTATTGAATGGTTCAGTCAAAGATCAATTCTACCAGCTGGTCCTTGGCCAAACTTCTAGTCATTGATCTTTTCTGGATTAGCCGTACCTATCTACAGCTGGGTAGACTGGAATGACGAGTGAGTTTTACACGCCGGTTGAGATTAGAACAACCGCCATTTTTCGACGTTGCAAGCAAATGACGTCATGTACAGATTCTAACGCCCTTACTGATTGTGCTACAAAGCTTAGTTAGTTACTACGTTTTGCTGTTGGTTTGATGACTAAACAGTTGGCTATTAATACCAATTCGTTGAACATTGCTGACTATAATTTACTCTGTTTTTCAGAACAATGAAGAAAAGAGATTCGCAGCATTCAATGATTTTTCAAACCCGGAAACGCCTTATTCAAAACAATATTGGTTTTATCCCCATACTTCTCAAGGTTTCTTAAAAACTCTATTACGATACCTAGCTCTTAACGAACAGTCCTATCGTAATACAGTCAAACGACAGAGGACGTTTGGTTTTGTAGGTACTCGAGGTAAAAGGGGAGATACATTCGACGGTCTGAAGGATTTTGTAAGAAAATTACAAGATGAAATCAACAGAAGAAAATATGGATCTATGTTACTGGACAACTCGCTGGATAATAGTCAAAATGGTCAGTAGAATTTTTCAGTATTTACTTTATGTTTTGTGGGTGAGGATAGTGGCAGTTAAAAATAGGATGGGGGGAGAGGGCCATGCCCCTTCCTTAGAATTGACGTTTGACCGGCTTTACTCCCAACCTCTTTGATTAATGATATGGCCACCAGTCAGACCCTCTTCCGTATTTCTGGGAACGATGGTTTTATCAAGATCCTGAGCACTCAAGTATGCCATAACGGAAGAACTTATTCGCGAACAGTCAGAAAGAAATAAAAACAAAATTCAAAGAAATATAGTAGGCTAATCTGATAAAACGTTTAGTTATAGTGGAATTTAAAAACAACAAACATCTGATTGAAAATTAGAATGGTGCAAATCGATGCTATACACATAATTTATTTTAGAAAAGTTCTTTACAATCTCGATAAATCCAAAATATGTACTCGATATCCATAGCTCCTGTCACGGTGGAACAGGATTTCGTTTGTTTTTGTCTCTGAATCATTGATCGCTAACCCTCCGAAACCACCAGTTTTAAAAGAACAATGGTGGGGTTTCTTCCAAGACAAAGTAAATGAATATTATTTGGTAAATTATCTCTGATTGTGATGACTGAATTATTGGAAGATAATGATACTACTAGAATCTAAAATGATGACTGAATTATTGGAAGATAATCATACTACTAGAATCTAAAATGATGACTGAATTATTGGAAGATAATCATACTACTAGAATCTAAAATGATGACTGAATTATTGGAAGATAATGATACTACTAGAATCTAAAATGATGACTGAAAATTGACATGGGTTTTTATAGCTTCTGGTCTTCCAGTTAGATTCTAATAGATAGAGACGATACTTGTAGACTAAAGCTATTGTGTAACATAATTTCTACAGAAAAATGTAGGGATTGGGATTATATTGCAGGTGTTAATTTTTGTGGTATGGCACCATCGGAATCATTTAAATGTAAATTGTTGAAACGTTGTGTTCAATATAAATTCCTTTATTGATATGCATGGGAAATTCACGTACACACCCTTCTTTAGCCGAAATACTTGATCTATTTTCAGAAGGTTATTTAAAGTTAAAACGACAGCCTCATTTAGGATTCCACGGTATGCGGGGTTAGGAAGGGTAAGTAACTGTTATTATATACACTAGTATTCAAACTACCATTGTAGAGTAATATCATCCTTGTTTATCAAGGGTTTAAGAAATCCATGACCGTTTTCCCTGAAACTTGTTCGCCCCTTTTTACGTTCGCCCTGAGTTTGTTCGCCCCTGTTCTTGTTCGTTCCGGGTTCGTTCGCCCCTGTTCTTGTTCTTGTTCTTGATTCTGAATTTCATATTCAGAGTCAGTTTAATGATTCTAACCCTTGAACCATCAACGGATATTACCGTTATGTTAACCATTGAAGGAGTATTTTTTCTCTGCTAAATACATTGAACTGGCTGTATACATTGGCCTAATCAGGTGAAGAAACGGAGGAATACAAACATTATTTCAGCTAATCAAACAGACATTGTCTTTCACCAATGATGCGAACGAAACGCCAAAGAATGGATTTGTGCGTCTGTTTTAACCAACGTACATTGTAGAAAATAAAACTACATTGTACTTATAACTTCAATTTATGTCATTTTAGTATTATTTACACACTGTGGTGGTGTCCATTTTCCCATTGGTTGGGTTTCTCCAAGAGCAGAAATTACGACGTAAAACTCCAATTATTTTAAAATATCATTCTATTTATATTTCAGGTTATAACAAGTTAGAGTTAAAACTGGACCAGTAGTTAAACATTCCACATTTCAACATTTTATTATTATTATTGTTATTATCAGCAAAGACAAAATGGCGGCTTTATTTTTCTCAATGTGACACCGGAAGTTGTATATGTTCGACATGTTTGATCTGACCGACGTTATGGTTAAGTATCCCACCGCTGTGATTGGGTTATCAAAGAAATCTGGTTTTAGTTGGCCAATCAGAGAGTTAGGATTTATAAGATTTCGATTCGTTTCCAACTAAAGTGTCTGTCGTTTAGTGTATTGTAAAATGAAGAACGTATCAAATACAGCAAGATTTCGGTGTAAAAACAGATTTCAAACTATCACTTACAGAGCGATATTCAGTAAAACAAGAGATATTATCAAAATTGTTTTTAGTTTAAATAGTTTAAAAACTTTTAGAACGATTCACAGACAGTATATTCCAGGCTAAAAATGGGATTAAATATGGTTTTCACAACTCTTCTTCTTTTATCAATTTCTAGAAAACTCGAGTTGGTATACTTGTGAAATATTTTCAGAGAATGAAGAGACAACCAGGGTCGAGGATCAAACAACGGCTAGAATTTAGATTTGGATCAGAATTTGGTTTTTCAATTTTAATTTTCTGTGGAACACCACGATCTGTCTGTAAATAAACCGAAACTAGTAACTAAGATAGTAATTCTTTGGCAAAGTGTTTTTTATTCCACCGTAAAGTGTAATATGAAAATCACAGTTGTGTAATTTCTAGAATATTGTTAAAGTTAAAGTAGTTAAGTTAATGCCAGTAACAGCCAATATCAATTCTACAGTGTAGGGTTATCTTGCAAAGTCATATTTTATCTGAGAAAATTCAAAACTGGGAAATTTGCATCATACTGATTGGTCAATTAAGTCTCTAATACTGTGGGTTAATTGAAATATAAATTTTATTTCAGAAAAATCACACTTGCAATTTCTAGCATACTGAACGGTTAAACAAATACAAACATATATCTAATACTGAGGACTAATTAAAACATCCATTATAAAAACCATGAAAGATTTCAGCACGTCATCTTGAGACCTAGAGCTGACTCCCAGCTTGACATCACACCAAGGAATCAACTGTTTGAATTAATTTCATCGATCCCCAGGGTAGAAAATCACCACCTACAATGTTTTATTATAAAATATTAATATATTTGTTTATTTGTAATCAATCTGAAACTCTTCTTGGAGATTTTTATCAATATTTAATCAAAATGACTGACACCTGTGATAAACTTGAATAAAAAATCAGGCTTCAAAAAGGTTTTTATAAAAGTGCAAGGTGTTAGAGGATCCAACTGTCGTGTCTGAATATCGAAAGCAAGGTATGTAAGCGTCTAATTCAGGGGTTTTTAATCTTGAGATAACTAGCTGCCAGGGAGTAATGAGAGCTAAGAAATCGAGCATAAAAATTTTGGACAATTATAATTTAAGTCGTTCTAGTCAGGCTATATTCTCAACATGAAAAAGATTGCAGGGAAAATTAAAGAGAAACTCACCAAATAGTAAGGATTTACACGGGTAGGAGATAATCCAATCGACCAGGGATCTTGAAGGGGAAATAGGAAAAAAAAGGTTGAAAAAGCCCTGGTCTAATAAGTTGAGTTACTTGTTATATATATAGCTTCAAAAGTCGCACTGTCCTGTAAGTTATTTACATATCTGATAGAAAATCAAGGTATATAGCCGTCGAATTATTTACTTTACCAGCTAATGAAGTCTCAAGTGATATGGTCGTGTAATTAATGAATTTAACGAACATTTTGTTGGAACTAAGTTGAATCATCTAGTAAATAACATAGTTCGACGGAGATATACCTTTAAGAAATCTTGAGAAAAAAGTTTATGTATGTTTATGAAATAATCGTTTTATTGAAGATCTCTCTTTTTATTTTCGTGTCGTCAATATGTTCACTTTAATTAAATCAAATTATTATTATTATTATTATTATTATTATGAAATAATAAATGATGAAATAAAACTCTCTGGTCTCAATAAATCTATCATTTTTTTTACCTGACCTAAAGTTGACAGCTAATCATACAAATGTGAGTAAATAATAGCTAATAGTTGATTCAAGATATTTCTGCTCACCCGGGTCCGATTCCATGCATACATGAATTAAAAAAATTCCTGAGGAGGGGAACAAAAATGAGAGGCGTCACTTCGAGACGACCAAAGACCCCAAAGGCAGGTGCCCCACCAGAAGCAATCGGAATAAAGATGGCGTGTGGTGAATGTTAAGTGTTTAGAGGACTTATTATTAAAGATACAGAGTTGTTGTTTTTAATATTTCCCCCAGTTGGCCTCGTAGGTTTATTTTATTGAATAATGGGAGATAACTGTGTTCATCTCAACCATATTTACTTCTATTCTTTCTATTGCTCTACTTTGGGTTTCGATATGAATAGGTCGCGGTGAATACAGAGGGTGGACTTGGGATAACATAAGAGGCTGGATAAGCTAACTGATAGAATGTTAGGCCTTACACACTCTTGGGCACAAGATGATTCAAGTCTTAAGGGCATCCATTCTAGTTTATTGTGGCTGGATTTTTATCTACTTCTAGACAGACGGGTCCTTTTCACAAACACATATAAAATGATTCAGTAATCAGACCACTGTGGATGAACAGGATAGATGAACGAGCTTGGGGACTTGAAGGGTATGTAGCAAGTCGAGTAAGATATTTATAGTAAGGGTATGTAGCTAGTCGAGTAAGATAACGGAGCTAGGGGACTTGAAGGGTATGTAGCAAGTCGAGTAAGATAACGGAGCTAGGG